TTTTTTGTCGTTGAACAATGTTGAACACGTTTTGTAATTCAATGAGATTCAATAAGGTGTTGAAGTGTTTCATGTTGGTTCCGGTTTTATACACTGAATACTGTAGATATATCAGATGATATCCACCATTAATATCCACCATTAATATCCACCATAGCGCCATATCTCTGATGTTTCCCCATCCACTTTGACCAGAAAAATACGCGTGGCATCCACCATCTTGACCCGATTTGTTTTTTTTTTTACGTCGCCGTTTTGAGGTGAAGAGTTGACGCACTCCTATGTGTGCCGGGGCGAGTTTGATCAATGGCCATGCAACAGGAACCGATCGATTGGAGGTATCTACCATATATAAGGCCTATTTTTGAGGCCTATGTAATGGAATATCCTCACAAAATATGGCCTTATATGGTACAGTACCTCCATTTTAGGATCCTGGAATTCCCAATGATTTGAGTTTTCGGGGCAGCCGATGTTTCTGGTTCAGAGGATAGCCAGGCTTTTGGCAAAAAAAACACACCTGGTACAGTAGGTGTTGTACATGCTGAGCTGCCATGTTTGGGTCTGGGCTTCAGATATTACAACGCGTTGTGGTCGTTTTTTTTGAATATCGAACTTCGTTATTATAAATATACTTTGTTAATATATCCATAATATTATTGATCTTTATATTTTGTTGATGTTTGTGTTGATTAGATCCCTACCTGGGATGAGCAGTTCCACCTAGAGATTGACAGAGAGATTGACAGTTCGGAGGTCTACCAAAGATACTGTGTACCAAAGCTTTGAGAATGCTGGATACTCATTGACAACCTGGATTTTCTGAAGGTTATTTTTTTTTATATGTTCAATTGGAAATCAAGCATTTTGGGGAACCTGCTGCTGCATAGGGCCTATTTATGTCTTATTTTTTGCCACCATCCAGCAACATTTCCACGGTTTGTTGGGGCTGTTGAAACCAGGGTAAATGTCTAGAACTTGGAGGGAAGGTACATGATGCAATGCAATATATATATATATATGTATATATACATATACATCCATGCCATGCCGACCGATTTGGTCAATTTTTGATTGAAAAAAATCATGTGTTATTCCTGGCGGACATAGAATCGAATAATTGAGTCAACTAATTCAGTTTGATCAATATGGAAAAGGATGAAAACCTTCAACCCGAGACACTCCATTTACCCATCAGAATCGGCCAGGTTGATTTGGCCTTGCCACGCGGGCAGCGGCAAGACCAGCTGAAGGAGGTGTTTTTGGCTCTGCTCGGATGGCACATGTTGGCACCCAGATGATGAAAATTGATACCTTCTTGTGATCTAACATAGCTATGAATCTATGAGCAACAACCCTTTTTAAAAGGCAATTCATATAGAAATGGACCATTTATCATTTTCTATAGCTATGTTAGATTACCTGGAGGGGAAATAGAATTCATTGGGATACAATGCGGGTATAATATGTGATTATAATACGTGATTATAATATGTGATTATAATATGTGATTATGGTCAGAAAACCACTTCATGCTTGTACTATGTATAACCAACATGAATTGGGATTGTCCAAAGATATGTAACAACCCCTAATTCCACTGGAGAATCACCCAATGTTCATTTATTTTCCGTATGAAAATGGCCATGGAATGGGTGTATTCACCATTGGAACCTGCGCCCTGCCGCAGACCTATGGCTTTCACTGCAGCTGTCTTGGCTGTAGAGGCCGCATGTGCAGGATGAGATGTGTGGAAGAAAGGTGGTGAATTAGATGCGTCCAGCACTTGACTGGTTGGCAATTCAAATATGTCATGGTGCAGATCGGTATACTATACAAAGATTGCCCAACAAAAAGTATGGATGAGTGAACCAAGAGTGAACTGAACTACGAGGTGTAGCCCCCCCAGCTATAAGATATTATAAGTTGGTTTATAAACCCATTACTTATAATACTTGACTGCAAGCAGAGGAGCCTAGTCCCCCCAATAGTTATACGCATATATTTATATCATCCATAAAGCCGCGTGATGTTTGTTGCTTTATCATCGCATTTATTATAGTAACAGTATGTAATAGTTATATTATCTATCAACATCCATAAAGTCAATGGTAAACGTTTACATAACTATGGAAAATCACCATGCTATAAATGGGTAAATCAGCTATTTCTATGGGCCATTTTCAATAGCTATGGCCCATTTTTAAGGGTAAAGCCCTTAAGGCCCTAGTTGACATGGCCACGGGTGCCTCACCTTGTTGACGATGATCCACCTGGAGCTATAAACCAACGTATTTATCTAGGGGCCCCACATTGTAGGGTTTTACCTTTCAATCTTTTTTGGCTTTGCTATAGATGCTCCCAGCGACATTTTGACTTCCATGGCCTGTCACCAAGAGGGCATACATCCCTCCAACATGGAAGCATATGGAAGCCAATGATCCAACAACAAAGGGCCATATCCACTAGTAAAAAACTATAGTACATTATCTGGTTGATGGTTTGGAAAATTGGATTAACTATGGTTTGTGGTAGATATAACGAACTAGTTAATGGGGATTATAATGGTCTATAAACATAACTAAACTACTGGTTGGTGGTTTGGAACCATGGAATTTTATGTTCCATCATATATGGGATGTCATCCTTCCCAACTGGCGAACTCATATTTTTCAAGATGGTTATTGCACCACCAACCAGATTATAGTACATGTATCATCTAACTAACTGGGATATAGTACACCCTCGACACACCATTGTTTAGCTTCCATGTGAAATTTCGAGGATGTAGTCAAAGTATAATGGATGTCACTTTGGCATGAAGGCTGAGGACGACAACATACGACAACCATAGCCGCAAGGTTGATTAACTTTTGGTGCTTTGGTGATGCCGCAGGTGGCACATGTTATCAACTATGAATATGTATGAATATGTAATATGTAAGATCATTCAAAAAAATCAACCCGAAAATGGCCCCTCTTTCATCAATCTCTATGCTGGTGAAATGTGTATTCGGCTTTAACATTTGATATTTTTTTGGTCAGCATTATTGATACATGTTCTTTAAGTGACATCCAAATTCACAGATTGGCGCTTGAATAGATTCAATTCTATGCTATGATGTCTTAGATTTCAACAATTGATTGAAGGGAAGGCTCCCAAGCAATTTGGGGCCAAAATCCATGGTTTGCTGAAAAATAGCCCTTCAACCAAACCATAGATGTCCTTTTTCCATTAGTTGGTTGATTGATAGAGATAATAAAGGTTGTTGTTTACCCCTTTAACAACAGGTAACTGATCATAGATGGTATACCAAACCATCAATAAATACTGGTTGGTGGTTTCAAACATTTTTTATGTTCCATAATATATGGGATATCATCCTTCCCATTGACTAATATTTTTCAAGATGGTTAAGTCACCACCAACCAGAATATATTCCATGACCCCCCAGGTTCGGTGAGTGTTCTCTTGGAACCCAGGGGAACTTCCTGAGATCGAGCGCTTCCTTGAAGCTGAACTGAAGCCAGGCTTGGTCCAGATCTGGAGGATTGACGTTTCAGCTAAGCTATTGATGGGTATCCTAGGTCATATCTGGTTAATGTAATGTTAATGTATGTTTATTTCCCCAATCATGGCAAAAATAGGTCTAGACTGTCTAGTAGTTGGGTAGTATCCTCTTGTAAATGTTTACATTTATAGTGGAGAATCCACTATGAAAGGACATTTTCTGAACCGGAAACCATTGGGTTTCCACATCTATGTTACTTCACACCAGGGTAAGCAGCAAACATGTGGATGCAAAGTAATGATTAATGAGAAGTTAACGGTGATAGCCTCGCCTCAAACGTGAGGCATTGAACCAATTGCGCCAACTCCCACAACAGGAATGTATGTAGTATAAATATATGCTGGTTGGTGGTTTGGAACCATGGTATTTTATGACTTTCCATTCAGCTGGGAATTTCATCATCCCAACTGACTTTCATATTGTTCAGAGGGGTTGAAACCACCAACCAGATATATGTTTAAAGGTGAGGATATCACAGTGCAGTGATCGTTGGTTGACCCTAGTCACCGACTATCAAGCACGCGAAATGCGGATGTCAACAAACATATATTCAATCTTCAAAAGCATGTGGAAAACGGAAAAGTGTCTCATGGTAGAGACTATAAGATTGCTTTACCCATCATGGCTGGGTCTACTAGGCTTATTCTTGCAAATCAAACACCCAGAAGCTGAGATGAAGGGAGATTCACCTGGCAATTCTGGGGAGGGGTAAGACTGGTATGGGGCTCTGGGATGTGAAGAAAACGATCAACTCGGTCAGGGAGACACCCAGTGACCAGTGGCACAGTGGATTGATACTGTGGATGGGCCAGCGAAATCCGGTTTTCACCAGTTACCCTCTGGTAAACTAACATAGCTATTGAACATGGCCATTTATAGTGGATTTTCCCATTAAAAATTGTGATTTCCCATAGCTATGTTAAATTACCAGAGGGTAATAGATGGTTCATCCCACTATTTTCTTTGGGGTTCAACCATCCGAAATTGGTGGTGCAGGATTTCGCTGGCCCATCCACAGTATGTATTTGTTTTATGTTGGAATCTGGAACATGTTCTTTTGCCTTGGTCAACAACCCTACTGTACACTAGAAGGATGTTTGTAGCTACAACAATCTTATCCTTGGATTCTGCAGATGGAATTTCGGAAGTTGGGGGGTACCTGTCAACCCCCCCTAGATGTTCTATTGTACATTGGCAGGAACCAGTTATGCTGTATATACTGAAGATACCCACATTTCAAACATTTCATATGTGTCGCACACGTGCACAGACAACAAGGCCCAATTGGCAACAAAGAAAACCACATTAGATTGCTTTTTGACATGTTAAAATCATCTCTTTGATTTTAACATGTTTTTGTTTACCCTCTGGTAAACATACAAAAAGCTATTGGAAAATGACCATCAAAATAGTGAGTTTTCCCATACAAAAATTGTGATTTTCCATAGTTTTCCCATAAAAAAATGCGCTTTTCCATAGTTTTCCCATAAAAAAAATGTGATTTTCCATAGTTTTCTGTATGATTACCAGGCCGGGTACATGTTTTTTTTTTAACCACCTGACACTTGAAATGTGACCGGAACTCCAGGAGATCCTGGGTCACCTGGGTCATCTGTCGGTGTCTCAAGCCTAATGGGAATGATGTTTGAAGCAACTAAAAGAACAACTAAAAACTGGTTGGTGGTTTGGAAATGTGGATTAACTATGGTTTATGGTAGATATAACGAACTAGTTAATGGGGATTATACTGGTTTATAAACATAACGAAACTACTGGTTGGTGGTTTGGAACCATGGAGTTTTATTTTCCATAATATATGGGATGTCATCCTTCCCATTGACGAACTCATATTTTTCAAGATGGTTAAAGAATCTACCCTCTGGTTATTTGTTACATAGCCATGGTATAGGTGGTCCATAGAAATAGATGATTTTCCCAGCTAGAAACCTCCATTTATGAGGGATTTTCCATGGCTATGTTAAATAACCAGAGGGTATCTGATCTACTTCAGGATGATTATGTTTATAGTATATATATATATCTATATGTGTATTTATTTTATTTTATATTTATATTATGGCTATCAATTCATCCTATACTTTCAAGAGATGTATTCATTGCTACCGCGTTGTTTTCCAGATGGGTTCACCAGATAGCCCTTACGAGAATCACATGCTACAATTGGGAACTATTGGTGCTCGCCGGTAATCAAACAGACCTAGCTGGGAAATGCCCAACTTGAGAGGCTTCAATGGGAAAGTTCTTTGTGAATGGTGAATCGTCGCAATTTTTGATTACCAGGTTATACTTGGTGGCTCACTACCCACGGCTCGTAAGTGGCTTATAACCCCAGTGATTTACATGGGATTTTTGTCGGGTTAATCCACTTATAACTGGGGTTATAACCCACTTACTAAGTGGGATGAGCCACCAGGTTATAAAAGATATGGTCATCATTGAGGCTGCTGTGTGATGTGCACCTATCCCTTCATTGGATGCCATGAATGGATCCTGATATTTCCCTTGACGGGTTGCTGAAATATGCAAGTGATATCCTTCAACTCCAACGTTCCATATATATATATATATATCTCTAGGTCAATCTTGGATGGGTACTTTAATCCTAACTAGTCTTTTGGTATCAACGGGATTATCTACTAACCAGCAAAGAATTTATTGTTTTGCAGGGTATCTAAGATTGGCACTGATATTCAAACTGAGGCAGAGCTGGCAAAAGCAGAGCAGCTGAGACTGCAGGCTCTGGTCTGAGAGGGGAATCATTGACACCCTAAAGCACACACATTCTAAGGCTAAGGTTGAATTCCGATGTCTTGTGTGTTGCATATACTGTATATAATATATGTTGATCTAGACCTTTTTGGGCTGGTTTTGTTGTGCTGTACTATACAAGTCCAACATATATACCGTATACCATGCATTTTTATTTACTGTAATGGATATGTTGAATCGATCAATTTTCGATGTGCAGGTGACCATCTACATTTTTGGCAGGGAGAATTTGTTTACCCCACAATAGATACATGATGGAAGTTATATCATGGCTGGTTGGTGGTTTGGAACATTTTTTAATTTTTCATATATTGGGAATAAGAATCCCAACTGACTTTTATATTTTTTCAGAGCGGTTGAAACCACGAACCAGATGGGAAACATCCCAAAACCTCATCATGTGCAGAAAACCTCATACTGTATACTTGATCGAGATTCATATCACTTGAAGAATTCCCGCTTGATACGTAGTGATATATGAATATACAAAAAAAAAATATCATATATATAATATATACTTAAATATATCACCTTGACTAGTTCACCCGGACCTCGTGGCGTTTGCTATCCAAGCGGTGACTTTTTGGTGGTCACAGGCGGCTACTGAAGAGGTGCTATCCATTTCGTCTCAGGGTTTTCTGGGGCATCCTGTGGAAACGAGGGAAACAGGCAGATTTCACCAGCCGAAATCTTGAATTTGGATATATGATTGATGATGGTATATCAATAGTGATATATTACTACCATTAATGGGAATATCATATTAATGGTGATAGTTAAATACTATCAAAGTACCCTCTGGTTATGACTAACATAGCCATGGGAAATGGCCCATAGAAATAGATGGCTTACCTATTAATAGCATGTTGATTTTCCATGGCGAACTGTTAAATAACCAGAGGGTATACGATGAAATTGATGATATTGAAGTAGATTAGGAAAAACCTACCTGGCTATTGAAAACCATTATTTTGGACAGGCAAGTTACTTGACAGCATGGGAATTTGTAAGAGATAGCCTTGTTGACTGAAGCCTCACGGCCCCCTGTGAGCGATATCAATGGGTACCAATATCATATCAATTTTACACAAAACGTTGGCTGGTCTGCTCAATGCAAAAAAAACAAGTAACACCAGGTCTTGTGGTTAAACGCTTTCGTGGGTCTAACATTTGATCCAGAGCTGCATGATGATGTACTGTCCAAATAGGCCGCATCATGATTGCAATTTTCGCTGACACGGTGCATCCAGTCCAGCAAGGGTTTTGTGAAGAATGCTTGTAGCTGCCTAAACTCATCTGGTTGGTGGTTTGGAACATTTTTAATGTTTCCATATATTGGGAATTTCATCATCCCAACTGACGAACTCCATCATTTTTCAGAGGGGTAGGTATACCACCAACCAGTCATTCATGAATTCTTCCAAGTTTAGGTGTTTATCAAAAGTGAAGCACATGCATTGACCTATAATGTCAACCCTGGATTAATAAACCCCAGACGGCTGTTGAATTGGGAGGGTACCATAAAAAAGTATCAGATGAAATGACTATTGGAGGAGTACCCACCTAATTTTCATAAACCATGGTTATTAATGTGCAGCAATTGACGTTCAAAGACCTCGCAGTCAACAGGATCCCTGCTGTTGCATCTCAGCTGTCAGGATCCGCACGTGGAATTGAAGATCTTGGAGGAGATCGCTGTCGATTGTGCGGTGCTTTTCTGTTCGGATTTTGCATCCTGAAGTGTGACAAGTTTTCGAGATTTTGAGAAGTGACACAGACCTGGATTTACCTTCACAACTTCCTATCCAACTTCCTATCCAACTTTCTATCTAACTTCCTATCAAGCATGAAATCTAAGTTATTAGGAAGAAGTCTTGTGGTTCGCAATCCCAGTGGCGTGACGGACTTTGCTTCATCATGGGATCACCATCCATCCTCCTGCCAGGAAGTGTGAGGTGTCTCAGTGCTGGGAGAGTGTGAGTCGGGTGTGCCCCAACTGATTATTGGAGTTGGTGAATCGCTAGAAACTGTGTTTTTTTTCATGTTTTTTTCCGGTGTTCCAATTTTACTGAGTGATAGTGGGAAGGGGCAACTGACTGCCCGCTGGCAACTGGCAACTGACTAAGTTCAGATAGTATTCTTTTTGGTTCATCTCTGAACAAAATGAACAAAGCTGTGTCTCAGACCAGTGGTTCCGACCTAAATCGCGTCCCAAAGTTCCTAAAGTTCCTACAGTTGTTTGTTCGTGTAATGTCTACGTTGATCCTTACAGTCCCTCTTAGAATCTAGATTATTGATTTATATATATATATATATACAATCTAAATTATCTACACAAACATATTATATATAATCTAAATTATCTACACAAACATATTATATATATACATATAATCTAAATTATCTACACAAACATATTGTATATATATATACATAATCTAAATTATCTACACAAACATATTATATATACATAATATCAATTATCTACACAAACATATTATTTATATATATATAAACAGTGTATATATATATATACAGTGTATATATATATATACAGTATATATATATATAACCACCTGGTAATCAAACAATCAACCGCGGCGATACATAATCAACCCATTCAAATAGATGATTTATGCTGATTTCCCCATGAAAGTCTTCATTAACTCCATTTGTTTGGGATTCCCCAACTAGCCACGTTGGAGGACACCCCTCCGGCTACAGCTTCCCATGGCTCAAGGTGTGGCCTTCGCGAACGATGGCTCCACCCGCGGCACCTGGAAGTGACGCGCCTGGCAAAGCGAGAGAATGGGATTGTTTACTGGGATGATTAGTTGTATAGTGATATATATATACACATCATGTTCATATTACTGGTATAGTGGTATAACGGTATAGTGATGATTAGTGGTACATATGATGAATGGTATACTGGTATATAATGGCATGATGGTGATTATGATGATGATGATGATGAGGATGATGAGGATAACTACCGGTATCACATGGGATTGTTTAGTTGGTATCACATCTCAACGTGAAATACACTATTTGGATCCATTTGGGGAATCCAGAGGGTAGATTTTTGTTCCTTAAGCAAATCCACTGATTAATTAGTCCATGATATACCCTCTGGTAAACATACAAAAAGCTATTGAACATGGCCATTTATAGTGAGTTTTCCCATTAAAAATGGTGATTTTCCATAGTTATGTAAACGTTTACCAGAGGGTACCAATGCTCATTTTCAGAGCCGATTCTCGGTGTGTGTTTGGTTCCTCAAACGTTGAGGTGATTTTTCCGCAATAGGATGGATCTAAGATGGAGGATTTACATGGATTTCCCCCCTCAAAAGATTGCGCCATCTATGTGGATGCAGCTGGAAAAGATTGGTAGTGGTGAAACAACACATCCAGCCCAGGTCCAACAATACTTGTGATATCTATCTAATCTAATCTAATCCAATCCAATCCAATCCAATCGAATCGAATCTAATCTAATCTAATCTATCTATCTATCTTCCTATCTTCCTATCTCCCTATCAATGTTATTTTATCAATGTTTCATCCTATCCTATCCTACGCTAGGCTATCCTATTCTATCCTATACCTGTCTAGCTATCTACCGCATCTAGGTGACTTTATCCATGATTTCCATCTATCTAAATTAGTTCTAAATCTATACACTGACTAGATATATTTGGGACTACGAATTATATCTATCTAATTTCCATAGGTTTCTATTTGACTAGTCTGTGTCTAAATGAGCAGTGTTCACAACCCCTGTTGGTTGATGATTAGTTCGGGGACCATACTAGCCTTCATACATTGGGGACTACAATAATCCAAGAACGGGGAATCGCTATAAACCAACCAGGATTAAATGGAAGGATACAGGAATTTGTAAACACTGGGTCATGACATAATCATGACATATTCATTGAATTTCATTGATTATAATTATAATCATATTATAAACATATATCATCATAATATACCATTATATATATATATATATAAACCAACCAGGATTAAATGGAACGCTAGAGAAGATCCCATTGGGATCATATAAGCCACATATAAGCCATATATAAGCCATTATAAGCCATATATTAGCCATATATTAGCCATATAGGCCATATATAAGCCATAAAATGGCGAGTTGGGAATGATACAGGGATTTTGAACACAATCTACAAATCTACAAATGTGGGTGCACCCAGTTACAAGATGGTTTATAAACCCCATTAACATCCATTAAGTATAGTTAGAAGTATCATATTGATAACTAACTTATGATACTTATAACTACAGTCATAACCCTTTTTGAACATCCATAAGATCCATTAACTATAGTTATTTATAGACCATAGTTATTGAATCAACTAGTATTCGATCCATGGTTTATACATAACTATAGTTAAATAACATCCATTAACTATGGTTAAGTAACCATTCCATAACACCATTGATTGACAATCCTCCAAAAAGCCAGTGATATATATATATATATATTACCAATATATAGTATCTCACCAGCTATACCATGATATCTCACCATATATAGTCTCATAGCATTTATCCTCTGGTAAACTAACATAGCTATGGAAAATCCCAATTTTAAATGGGAAAATCCACTACAAATGGCCATTTTCAATAGCTTTTTGTATGTTTACCAGAGGGTATTGGAGCTCAAATCACTTCTCAATCGCTTCGAAGTCTTCGATGGCTGGTCATCCCAGAAATGGTCATCCCCTGGAACTGCCGGAACTGAAATCACCACGGGGCGATCGTTGGTCCAATAAATTTAAGTACCGTTGGTCCATCCAATGGTTCTCGATATGAAAAAAATGGGATTTGTATATATATATATAAATAATAATCAAAATAATAATAATAATTAATAAGCATATATAATAGTAATATATATATATATATATGGATATATGGATATTAAATGTCTCTACTGTATGAAGATTTAAAAAAAAAAACAAGTTGATTGTACATGTCCTCAAGACATCTCAAGACCCAACAGCTTCACTGTGACTTTTTTCAGCTTGAGGTCTGCGCGGCTCATGTTGGGGCCTAAAAAAAAGCGGATTTCAAGAGCTGAAAAACTTCCCACAGGGATGATCCCCAACGTTTAGCAGCAGTGGATTGTATATTATGGTTTATATGGTTTTATGGGTTTTATTGGTAAATATATTTCATAATAAAATTGGTTTTATTGTATTTGTTTTGGTGAATTCTAATAATTGGTTTATTTCATGGAAATCCCAATCTAAAATGGATGATATGATGACTGGGGGTAGCCCCATGACTTAGGAAAGCTCCATATATCCAGCATTTATATATATAACTGGTTGGTGGTTTGGAATATGTTTTATTTTTGTCCATATATTGGGAATTTCATCATCCCAACTGACTTTCATATTTTTCAGAGGGTTGAAACCACCAACCAGTATATATTTATATTTATTTACCAACCACAACGACATATAATTCGTTTAGCATGTAGGTAAGACTATTATTTGTCAATATTGTTGATATCCAACAATTTTTTCTGGTGAACTATTTGTGTGATTTGATCCCTGTTTTTCCTTTCATGTGTGTGTGTGTCTTGCCAAACAACGCAGTGACTGGTTTGGCAGATTAGTGATCAGTGGCTCAATTGGTTAAATGCCATTGCATGGTATGCAAGCTTAGTAAATTGTTTGTAAATTGGTTTTGTACCTGCCACTAGTTCTGAAACAGGTGAGTTGATGCTACATGAATATGGACTGTTGTTTGTTGGCTTATGTCCCTATCTATCCAAATTTATTACGCTATTTCTATGTTGATGAGGTATTCAGGATCGGCCGTTCTCCATTGTTGCTCAGTACACCGAACACACTCCATATTTGTTCACTATGTCATAGTTAAATCACCATAGTTCAATGAGTCAATCACCAGTTTTGGCAGTTACCCTGTGGTAAACATACAAAAAGCTATTGAACATGGCCATAGAAATAGTGGTTTTTTCCATTAAACATGGTGATTTTCCAGTTCGCTATGTTAGTCATTACCAGGCCGGGTAAACTCCCTATGTTTGTCCATGTTTTTGGCGGTTAACTCCCCAAGGCTGCGGCTCATACTGCAGCGATGGCTGCCTTTGACTGGGTGCGGCTGCGGTTTGTGCTGCAAGTGATGGGATCAGGGTGGGGAAATCATGCGCCATCATGAAACAACTTAAAGAACAATGGTGAATCGGGGAGGATCAACATGAATAAATATGGGTAATATATTAATAATGTGATCCAATGCAATGCCTTTTTGTTGATAATATGTGGGGAGATGATCAGCAAATCAACGATGCTCCCCAAGAACCATATATTACCATATATAATTACCATGTATATATATATATATATCATTATATATCATATATAGATACCATAGTGAGGCGATCAATATGAATGAGGTACATGCGAATGGAAGCACCCCCGAAGACATTTTCCAGTGACTCCGGGTGACCAATGCTTGTCAGGAGTGCCCCTTCATAAGAACCGGCCTTCTAAAAACGGGGTGTACACCGTACATTCCTTCGTCGCATTCAGGTTCTACAGATTCAATGTGTGCTGGGTACGTTCAGTTCCTGAGTTCCTGTTCCCAATGTCACTTAGTGCCCCACTTGTGCCCCTGAAATTGGAACCTGCTTAGTCACGTTCAGTTGGTTTATGTCAGCATGTTGTGGGTTTCTCTGAAGGTGGCAGCTGAAAAACATTGCGGCAAACTGGTGGAGCAGCCCCTGGGACCGGAGAAGTGAAAATCTCCGGGATTTGAGGTGTGCTCAACGGTAAACACGCGGCAGTATCTTCACGAAACCAAAGTCCCAGTTTTTTGTTTGTCTTCATGATGCATAAGGTTTTCATGGAAAAATCCTGCGAACCTTGGCCACCTGGCCTTTGGAACCTGATTAATATTGATTAATATGATCAATCCAATGTTCTCTTTGCTGCAGATTCACTCTTTGAATCATCAAATTTCCCGCAGATGGCCATATTTTCCAGCTCTCCGAGAATTTCAAGAGGTACTTTTTCGCAGGTGGACCGATCCGATCTGCCGCGATTGAATCCATGAAAGAAATCCCCTGGAAAACAAGCAAGATACATCTTATGCGATCCAAATCTGTCCAAATGTGTTGTTATTTGGTGCAATCAACTTGGTGCCACATAGTTAGCTAATCTGATTTGTAAGTAGGTTAAACGATTGGATTGATGGTTGTTAATGTTGTTATAACCCAGAAAACATAATAGTCACTGTTTTACCAGATTAACTGTATATACATAGTATATGGTTTATGGATGTTTATGGTTTCTATATATGTATATTTATATTGTATATATTTTCGAATTATATCATAATATATTGTGTACATATGTGTGTACATATATATATATACATATATATATATATACACATACATATATATATATATATACATATATATAAATACATAGAGATGTGATATGGTGTATAGATCATTACTGGGTCACAGCGTTGCACTCGTCTCCTCAACTGTCGCTGTCCCAAGGTATCTGGCAGTCTATCCGCCTTGGCACCCCATCACAGGTGGGAGAAAAATGACGTTGTGATGATCCAGGTGTGACGACAAGAAAAAATAACCACCCAAACTTTGGAATATATGGAGTTATGATACTCTATATATATATATGTATATATATATGTATATATATATATGTGCTGCAAAACCACCAAAATAGGATATGGAATAGGGCCTTTTTTTAGTGTTATGGTTTGTTTGTTTTTTGTTTTTAGTCGTTGTCCCCTCACATCACCAAGGGGAACGATGAGTCGAACTGAGTCCAATCATGATACCTTCTGGTAAACGGTAAACATACAAAAACTATGGAAAATATGGAAAATATGGGAACATATGTGATTTAATGTGGTTTAATGTGGTTGTTTATTGGTAAATCAACTATTTTTATGATGATGAGTGAACTAGGTCAATCGACTGGATGGATACAAACTAATCCTAACTAGTCTTTTGGTATGGGAATATCTACGTTCACCAGTAAAGAATTTGTAATTTTTTGCAGGGTATCTGGCTGATTGGCAATGATTTCAATCCTGTCAATCATGATATGTCTTGGCTCCGCTACCCAATGATTTGGAAAGCCATTCCTCGTTTTGTATCCATGGTGGACCTTATATATACTTGTTGATTCTCTGTGTTTATGCTGGGCGCTCAACTTTCAGTTGTCTTTTCACATGACACACTGACATCTCAAATATTGATGCTGCAACCGGCCCTAGTAAGATCTTTGCCGTTTGATATGATACTTGGTCAACCCAAGCAGACAAGAATTGCCTAAGCCATTCCAATGCCAACATTAGTTTTGCCTTGCAACATGTTGGCGATTTAAATGCTGAATATTTGAGACAGTTTCTGGACAAAATTCTTTGCCCAAATCTACCACGTATCCACATTCTTCAATACTTTAACACTAAGAACTGCAGCACCAGTAAATAATTCGATGCATATCCATCAACACTAGCCCATCAATATGTTAATCACCACATATATACACAAAACTGGTTGGTGGTTTGGAACATTTTTATTTTCCCATATATTGGGAATTTCATCATCCCAACTGACGAACTCCATCATTTTTCAGAGGGGTGGCTCAACCACCAACCAGAAGTTGACTTATAACTTGGTTAGCTTGGGTTTACGGGGGATATAACTATAGGATTCATAGGCCTCACTCCATCATTTTTCAACATGGTTCAAACCACCAACCAGATAAACAAAACCACTGGATAGATTGCAGACTGGCCAGGTCTGCAAATGTTCACCCTTGCGGAGTTGAAGGCGCTGGGAGTAGTGAGACTTTGTGTCTTCGATTTTTTGGCCCAAAACAGGCTGGGATTCTATGATACAATAATATACAATAATATATTATATCTTATTTGATGATTTTACAAATATACAAATGGTATATATATATATATATTATAATATATATATATATATTATATATATTATATATATATATATATTATATGTATATTATATATATATATATTATATATATTATATATATACATAATTGGGATCCTATTTTCACACTTTGTTATAGTTATATAAAACCATAATTGGTATATAATATTTTCCTGTCACTTTGTTATAGTTTCACACTTTGTTTTGTTATATAATATATTATAATATTGGTTTTGGGTGGAAACATTTGAGGACACGGTACTCACTAGTCACTGTCCAAGACTGTCTAGGTCTCGATTTTTCGTGATTTTCCACTCAGGGAATCGCATAGCGGAAATCCCCCTATTTATGGATGATTTTTCCATGAACAACTTTCATTTACCCTCTGGTAAACATACAAAAACTATGGAAAATCACCATGTTCAATGGGTAAATCCACTATTTCTATGGGCCCTTTGAAAAATAGCAAACTGTAACAGTCATTACCAGGCCGGGTCGTTCGGTGATTTCCCATGACCGGAGGGTATCTAATGGCCATTCCATGGCCGTGCAACAGGATCCGATTGATTGGAGGTACCTACCATATATTGTTGGCCTAGTTTTCAGGCCTATTTTTAAGGGAATATCCCAGCAATTCATATGGCCAAACATATGGTACGTTTACGTACCTCCATCTGTTGGATCCTGAAGATTTCCCATTGATCACCCTGCAGACAGGAGCAGCTCGGGAAATTGGCTGAAGCACAAAGCTGCTATGAAGGACGCAGAGACGTCACGCTGAGTCTGACAATGGGCGCAGGTCGAAAAATGGAGACCAAAATACCATAGATATCCATAGATCCTTGGGTATGTTTGGGCTTGTTGGGAATTCAAAATACACGCATCCAACTTTGGAGTATCCAATTTTGATACAATCCGCATCCGCATATGTTTGTTTCAAATATGTTCTGGACATATTGAATAGGTACGCTCACCAAAATGTTTGTTGATAGGTAAATAGAGGCCCCTAGACTTCCAGAAAACTCCGAATGACTATGATATTTGTCCCCTGGTTTGATTGTGGACTAATCACTATTATATACAGTTAATATAATATACTGTATGAACCATGGCGGAGAAAAACATAAAATGAGTCATGTGACTTTCAGGCTAATACAATAGAGATTGAATGTATGTATATGTATGATTATGTATGTACAATACATTTCCATCGAAATAAAAACCAACAATGTTTATATATATATATGTTATACATATATATATAAAATGATATATGAATGTACGTAACATATAGCTACATGCAATGTATGACTGGAGCATCTCCAATTTCTGAAGTCCCTGAAGAAATCCGTCCAGTTCACCATCAGCTTCCCGGAAGCCCGTCCAACGCATGTCATGCTGACTTTTGTCGGATAGAAGATGAAAACAAGATGAAAGCTGAGTAATCTGGTAGAAACAATGCCATAAGCCATCCCCAAAGTAACCGTAAATGGGTGGTATGGTTACCATTCCCAAATGGGTGGTTTATGACATATTTTAACCACATTATTTAGTAGAAACCAGGACATAAACCATGATCAAACAGCTTTCAACCATGATGTCAGCTGTCCATAGCTGTCCTATCTTGACAAAAACTAGGATGTCAGCTGTATCTATGCATCTTTTACATAAAGCCCTTTAGTTCACCATTATGTTCTATCTTTGTTGAATTATCTCAGCCAATGCCATCGTTGCTCATATCTTCACTAACGTGGTAAACACAATAATAAAGCTATCATTTGGGTATGGTGTATACACCCCGTGGAAATGGTGGTTTGCTAAAATAGGGGTACCCCCATATCATCCATTTTATTTTGTTTTTTCGATTATAAACCATCTATTTTTGGGTACCACCATTTATGAAACTCCCCAAATGATGATTTTGCAGACGGTTTATGAACTTGGGTTTACCACAACAGTAAAATCCACCATATTTTCCTGGCCATTCCCCAAGTTCGGCGAAGGAGCCGAGCGTATCCTGCGGCTGACACATGGAGAAGGTAAACGATGCACATGGCTGTGTTGTTTCTGGAAATTGACCAAAGCTGTATGATATGGCTTTGTGTGAATATATAACTATATATATATATTTATGGGAACCTTCTGCAAATTTGATGGTTGATCATGACTTTCTTATATGTTCGCATATTTTTTCCAATTGAAATTGTTGTTTTGGAGGGTATGGTATACCGCAATTTTCCGGCACAGCCGTATGTACAAACGAATCTGGGTAAAGCTTGGGTATGTTTATGTCCAGCTATGTGCACCGGAGGAGATGGGAAAAAACAAAGAAAACACAGATGGGCAGTGAATGATATTGGATTGGTTTTTACAGGATTTCATACGGGGTTGTACAGGATGGGGCCCCCCAGTGATGTTTGTTGGTTTATAAACCGTTATAATCCCCATTAACTATAGTTATATCTACCATAAACCATTGAATTCAGCCACTTATAAACCAACGGTTCACGCTATCTTGGGGGCCCCATGCTGTACAACAACCAGTGTGTTACTGGGTAAATTATGTAACACCCTGACTCTTCTCCAATGGTTCGGATCCGGGGAAGGGAGGATTTTTCAAGGGGATTGACAGGAGGAAGCAGAGTTGATGCAAACTACAGCCATTTTACCCGGCCTGGTAAACATACAAAAAACTATGGAAAGATCCACCATGCTATTAATGGGAAAACTCACTATTTCTATGGCAATTTTCAATAGCTATTTTGACATAACCAGAGGGTATAAGCTATATCATTCCGGGTCAATTCTAGCGACCTCATTTGGCCGCAAAATCTCTTCGATGATGAAGAGTGTCGGGATATTCATTCTTCAAAGGACCGAAGTATAATCTGGTTTAGGAATATGACACCCTCTGGTAAACATTCACATAGCTATGGAAAATGGCCCATAGAAATAGATGGTTTACCGGTTTACCTATTAAAAATGGTGATTTTCTATAGCTATGTTACAAATTACCAGAGGGTAAATGTCACAAATTGTGAATTGAACGACCTTTTGAGTTGGTCTTGAATTGGTCTAGCGCAAGTGCGAGTATTTTGTTAGGACATCTTTGAATCCATACAATGTGGGGCCCCCGTTCGATAGCTAAGTTGGTGCAAATAACTCCAATTTCACTATGGTTCATGGTACGCAAATAACTATAGTATTCATGGGGTTTATAAACCAACAAACATCACTGGGGGGCCCCACATTGTAGGTCAATCTTAGATGGATACTTTAATCTTTCAGTAACTTTAGTCTTTTGGTATCACTGGGAATATCGAACCGTTCACCAGCAAAGATTTTTCCTTGCAGGCTATCTGGCAGATTGGCAATGTATAGTTTTTCCCTAGCCATGAAAATTGCCACATTGTAGACAGGGACATCTTAAATGGGTAGGCAATGTAAAGAACTATACATAAAGGAATGCACCCTACAACTATACATTGTGCACCCTACAATTTGGGAAGAACTATACATTCCCAATCAAGTTGTAGGCAGTGTAAATGGGACATCTTGGGACTATTTCGGATGCACCTTGCCTTTAGGATTCCCTATTAGTCATCCATCCCACCACCGTTGAATCTACAGGATGGGGAAAAAATCAGTTGCCGCGTTCAGTTGAGACATGGCTGTGGCTAAATTCTATGGTTTATGGTAGATATAACATGATATAATATATATATATATATATTATATATATATTTATATAATATATCTATATATATATATCGAACTAGTTCATGGGGTTTATAAACCAACTTACATATTTTTTGGGGCACCATCTTGTATACCATCTTGATCCCTTGGCATTTGAGGCCAAAAACATGGCAGTTCAACTTCAACAGTTTCCATATGGGTTACCCTAGGCTAAACCAAAAAAGAAGGATGTGGATTTCCAAAAACCATTGTTAGATCATTTATTTTCGGAAGCAAACCATGGGTTTTCCACATCGATGTTAGTTTGCCCTAGCAATGAACAGACATGGACAGACAACAAGGATCCAGATCGTTTTCCTAAAAACAAGATGATTGACAATTATATGGAATCTTTGCGTTTTTTTTGCTTTTGGTCAAAGCTGAATCATCTTCAACACAATTGTGTTTGTCTAAGAAAATAACGTATCCAATTCCAGTGATTTATCATTTTTTTCTGTCCAAAAACAAGGTTTCATTTGGAGGGCATATCGGACAAACCCAATTCCCCACGGCTGCACACATCTTCCACCCACCATCTAGATGATTCCACCGTGCTTTCTGGAAGGTCATGAGTTGGTCTTGCAGCTGAAAGAGCGCCTCGCGGAAAGCCGTGCTGCTGCTGTCTGCTGATTGATGTTGCAACTGCTGGTTTTTGTTGACACGTTTTTGACTACAGGGGTGAAAACGAACTGTGAACTGGTTGTTTGATGGAACCCATAGGATCCATGGTGCTGCTATATATGGTAACATGGATCCCATCAATATACCCCCTTTATGTTAGCATTCATATACCAGCACCATGGATCCGTCATGGGGAAGTTGTTGTGAATGTTGAACATCTACCATCTGGTTATTTAACAGTTTGCCATGGAAGCCATGGCCCATAGAAATAGA